TGCCTTCATTTCTACTACAATTATTCTGACAGTTGTACTTTACAATCAGATACTTGTAATTCGCACAAATATTATGGTTATTATCTAAGTGTAGCTTAGATGTGGCGCAAGGCTGAATGTATGAGGCACCTAGTGAGAATCGAACTCACTACACAGTTATAATTGTTCCAGTGAGACAAGTTTCCAGTTCACATAGTGACTAAAACCAAGTTCTCCTTCTAGATATTTCACTGAGTTATTCAGATATCTACTTGCCATCTCATAAAAATTTGACTTGCTACTAACTAAATATAAAAGAAAAATACTTTCTGACATGTTCACACTGCCACTAAGTGTCTTGGGTATGACGATAAACTACATCTGTGTCTTCGATAACATGATAAAATACGTCAAGCACCAAGGCGTCTGATCAGGAGGTTTTGAGGAGCATGGAACTGCCTTTTAATTGCTGGTTTTTCCCAGGTCCACCCTGACCTGGGGTGGTAGCATCTGTTAGGGGTCCCAGCTATGGGTAAATAGTTAACCGCCAAACTGGGGTCAAAACACTATTAAAGTGTAAAAATAGGTTTTAATATCAGAAATACTTTGTAAAATATTATTTTACTAGTAATACCTTATTGAAAATAATATTACCAGCAATACATTTTTCGGGAAAAAATATTACAAGCAATACATTTTTCACAAAGAAATATTACCGTCAATAAAAATCTTGCCAGCATTAAATAATGCATTGAGGTTGATATGTCATAAAACTAAACAAAAAAGACAAACTGCTCCCAAAATGGTTAAATCTAATTTAACACTAAAACAGAACAAAATAAGATGTTTTATTTTCTAGGCTGAATTATAAGAATAATTTAAAAATAAATGAATTTGTTTTTTTCTGTCTGAATTTTTGAGATGAGAGTTATCATTATTTACACTATTTATGTTCAGACGACTGTCCTCATCTTTGTTGTTATCAAAATGATTTGGCATCAGATATATATCTATCTGAGTAACCTACGGAGAAATCTGAACTGTATCCTTTATTTAATCTACAGGATTAGATTGTTCTCATTCCACTGTTCATGTCTAGGGATAACCTCTAGTTCTTTATATTTTATTTACAATATCCCTAAACATGAGCAGTGAAATGAGAATAGTCTACACATGTATGTTTCAAATATGCAAAATTAGCCTTTGTTTTGTTTTCAGCATGATTTTTTAAAACCATTTCTGATCAATCACCCCAAATAAATGGCCAGGCTTAAATTCATTATACTACTATGTATGAGACATAATTGAGAAGGAAGTCAATCAATGCTCTTATAACATAAAGTCTCTGAAGTCTACCAATGTTCAAAATAGATAAAGATCATCTGATTTGGGTATTTCAACATTTTTGATCTTGTATTGAAGAATTCAATGATGCTAACAGCAAATTCATTAAGTAGAAGCATCAAGAAGAGTCCTACCAATTTGGTTCTCAAATAAAGCTCTTTTTTTCATCTTTTCTTCTTTTACTAATTTGCTGCAAATGCCTTCAAACAACTGAACAACTCTGTTATTCTCACTGTGATCTTTGCATATGTTTATAATTCAAATATAGCAAGCAGACTTTATATTAGGGTCATGTGTTTGTAATTCACACCAATATTATGACTAAAACCAGACCCCTACTTATAGATACTTGCCAGAGCTATTCAGAAAGCTACTTGACTAATAATGAAAATTTGATTTGCCACTTGTTAAATATTAAGGAAAATATTTTATACAACATTCTAAAACAACTCATTGTAGTAATGAAGGGTTAACCAGATTATTATAAAGAAAGTTTAAAGTATATGTTTATTTAAGATTATGGTCAGGTAAAAAAAAAAGTATTCCTATATTAATGCAAGTAAAAACAGTAAATAGATATAAGAATGTAAGTAAAGCACAAGCAAAATTTGAATTCATAGATGTTTTTTTGTTTGCTTCAGACAGAAAGAAGAGAAAGAAGAGAAGAAAGAAGAAAAATATCAGATTATTCTGTCTGTAAACAAGACAATAATATTGAAAATTCATAGAATTTCAATCAAACAAAAAGATAATTAAAAAATGTATAGAAAGACTGAATGGAGGCAGCAATAATTTAAAATAAAAAGTAACAGTTCCAATTTGACACGTTTTAGACTAAATTACTGTCTTCAACGGGATATCATTAATCAAAAATATTAATGCCAAATGAGTCACTGTCTAAATAGACCTTTTCAAAAACAGATGAACAATTCTGATTTTAGGAATTCAGACGTCTTCATGTTTGTAATTTCACTTATCAAATATTAAAAAATCTGACATTCAAATACACACAGCACTGAAGAAAATGTTTAAACACATACTTGAACAAAAAAAATATATCTGTTGTCTTTTTAAAAGATGTTTGTATTTTACTTTTTTATGTTTTAAACTTTTTTTGTTCAATATTTTTTCTAGATCTTCAAAACTTTTCCATCAACAAAAAGCTCAGCTCGGTTCACAAAAAATGTTTTCACCCATTTTTATCATCATTGTTCGCCTTACTGTTTCAACCACTTACCATCATCAGGTGTATATACACTTCAAAATTATTTTTTAATCTTTTCACTCGAAGTAAGGCAATATAGCCATTAAAATGAAAGGAGTTACTGAAAATGAAGGTGTTGTTGTTAGGGCCAGAAATAAAGACACAAAGAGAGGAATTGAGTTAAACAAATATATTAACAGAAACAGAAATACAAACATATACAAATGAGAGTGTTACAGCAAGAATGTTCTGTCCGACTGTCAGAGCTGACTGCTGGAAACTTCCCTCTCCAAAAGGCAGTACCTGCTCCTATTTATAGCTGGGAGAGTCCATGTGTGTATGGATAAATTACTATAACAGAAGGAAACTGAGAAAATGCTACTGAGGAGAAAGGACAATAAAAAGAACAAGATTCAAGGAGGCAGAAGATGACCACTGATGTTGGATTTAAATTTTTGAAGAACATAATTTACGAGAAAGCAAGAAGCCAAAAGAGATTTTTATAGAGGAGTACAGGAGAAGAAATCTTTAGAATGGAACTTATGGTTACATGTAGCAATTTCCACAGTAAAATGATGAGACCTAGTTGCCAATCTAGTACTGCATTTAAAGACATGGTGCTAAAAAGGAGAGCATATCAGAATAAATGACATGGAAATATTTATAGAAAATGCACAGGGTAGCTACATTATGGCAGTGAGAAATGGATTGAACCCGCAGTACAAAGTCAGGACTGATAAGTGAGTTGTCTTTGGATTTTGTGAAGAATATCTAGACATTTTACAGAAGCACCAGACCAATTGTCATAGCATGGAGAAATGCTAGCCTTATAATGACTTACTAGAAAAATAAAAAAACAGCCAAGTGAACTGATATAAAATATCCCTTTAGATGCATAAGTGAATGTGAACAAAACTATGTTATACATTACATAAGGGTTTCAGTCTTAAAATTCCAAGAACAAAACGAGTAGAGCAAATATCTGAAGATGGACAGAGAGCACGCTTTTCTGATGACCTAACAGACAAAAAAGAAAATCTAGGTTTCCTTATTTGATTGGATCAAAGGGAACTTATGAAAGAGAACCAATTAAAAACTTTGTTCTGTTTTTATTTATCATCAAAAACAAACACTCACTAATGTTTCAAGTTTGAAGTTTCAAACTGATTATTCACACACATGCATACATTTCTTTTTTTACTAAATGTTCACCTAATACCAGACCCAAGATGCACTCAAGCTAGAAGTTTACTGAATGGGATTTAAAAATTACTAATCCTAGAGCAAATAAGTGACCAGCATTCAAAAAAGATAAACAAGCTTAATGCCACGTGTCAGCATAAGAATAATTATTTCATTAAAGACACTCATCCAGGGTAGTAGATACCTGCCACCCAGGATTATATGAGTCGGATTATAGTTACTGCCTTCATATAACCAAATGATGATTGTTATTGAATGAAACTCTGAGTAGTGGATATCGATATTATTGTATTAAAAATATTAATATAATGTGTTATATCTAAGCTCTGTTGACATTGGGTTTGACATTGAGTCATCAGTTTATTTTATACTTTTAAGATTTTAGCTTATTTTAAAGCTAAAATTTTTAGCTTTTATTCTTGATATTTATGTTCCTGTGTGTGAGTATTTATATATATATATATATATATATATATATATATATAGAGAGAGAGAGAGAGAGAGATTGTGCATTTGTGAGTGTATTCCATGAAGACAACAATTCTGCTATTCACTTTCATAAGATAGCAGCAAACACATCTATCTTCTATCAGATCATTTCCTACTAAGCTTGTACCCAATGTGCATAACTGGAGCAACCTTTTGCTCCATCTAATATTTTTTCTTCATGCCATCTCCACTTCAGTTTCTGCATTAATTTTAGAATATCTCATATCTTGGTCTCTTCTCTAATCTATGTTGATCTATTCCTCTTTCTTAGTGTTTTCCTTAGCATTGCTTTTTCTTATTTGGGCATTTCTGATTTTTATATATATATATATATATATAAAAATTCAGAAATGTACAAATAGGAATATATATATATATATATATATATATATATATATATATATATATATATATATATATATATGTATTTTTATATATATATATATTTATATATATATGTATATATTAAAAAAAATTAGGTATTCAGCCAATCATGCTACCTTGGTTTCAACCTTTTGTTATCCTCGGACAGTATTGTATTTATATATATATATATATATATATATATATATATATATATATATATATATATATATATATATATATATATATATATATAATCCTACCAATTAACCCATAGCTAGGGGGATAAGAGGTAGATGCTAGCTTTCCCAAGGATATTTACACATAAGCAAATATAATGAAACTGACTGCAGTTGAAACTAAGTTCTTTAACTTTCAATTATGAGCCTTATCATTTACACCAACTGCACATCTAAGCTTACCATACCTGGTATTCCCAAGTGGTCATCCACTTAGGTACTGACCAGGCTCAACATTGCTTAACTTTGGTGATCATATGGGAACCAATGTTTCAATGCAATATGGAAGTAAGCCCTATGACTTTTAAGCATCAGATTATATAATAAAAAATAGCCAGAAAGAAACACTGTTGCAGTTTTCAATGGAGTCTTACGTAAAATTATTAGCTGATTATGAATATCAGATTATACAAAAACAATGTTTCATGCAGTTAATGAAGTTATCTTCAGGCTGAATTGTTTTGAAATATATATGAAAATATTATCCATTACACCACTCTTGGAGAAGGACAATTCTCTTGATTCAAAACTGGTTGAGTATGGAGACAGTGAGTCCGCCCTATAAAATCCTACTTACTATGAAAATCAAAGCAGAAAAAGCTAGTATTATGGCTTATCGGTTCTTCAGCTTATTTTAAAGCCAGAAAATATCTTTAGATTGTAAGAATTTTGGAGGGAGATAATAATAATTTACTGATACAAGTCCTACTAATTAACCCATAGATGGGAGGAGAAGAGTTGAATGCATACCTTTCCTAAGGGTATTTGCACATGTGAATATAAGAAACCTGACCAGAATTGGAACTTAGCTCTCTGATTTCCAATTCCGAGCCATTATATATATATATATATATATATATATATATATATATATATATATATATATATAATGAGAATTATTATAGTATTATAGCGCAGACATGTATAAAATTATTCATTTTCATTTATTTCCTTCATTTTCATTTCATTTAACAAAGCACTTATCTAAACTTTCTAAAATATTTCTCTTGTTTTTATTTATTTAAAAAAAAATTATTATGCAACCTTTAAATATTTCAAGAGAAATTTTTTCCGGTCTTCCATAACAAAAGAATATCTTGATCATCCAGTTTCATTTCGTTTGACATTATGAAAATGTCAGTGCACTGGGCCGTTTTCAGTTTTACTTTTCAATAGGCTCAGCATTCAAAAGATTAAATTAAAACACATTTATACACGCTTATCATTAATCAAGTGGATATTTCGTTTAGCATTTCTTTAATAACCTTCATGTTCATCTCAGTAGCAAACATGAAATTCACTTTGCGACAAAACACGTCTAAATGTATGTTTATTGATTTGATGTAATCTCCTTAAGAGATCAAAATAACGATAAGCAGATGTTGGATTGAGTGCATGTGCGCACACAGCATAGTGATAATCAGTGCAGAAAATGGGACTAGCATTTAAATTCCAGCTGAAACTGTTGCCTTTGTTTTTGCACAAATATGCTTCAAGCCTTGGGAGTGTTTTACCTTGCTCCCCAGATAGGGGTTAAATAGCAGTGCAGACTGGGTTCTTCAGTCTTGGTTGACAACCAGTCTTGGAGAAGGACAACTCTCAATTCAAAACTGGTTGAACATGAAGCTAGCAACTCAACCCTATAAAAACCTACTTCCTATGAAAACTAGCATGGTAACATCTAATTTCAGAAAACTGTGGCACTATACTCCCCTACATTGTTCCTTCTTTTATGATTGATTTTTGTTTTTTATGGCTTATCAACCTTTTGCATGTTATTTTAAGTCTAAAAAGATATTTTTAAATTATAAGAATCTTTTGGAGATAATAATCATTTACTGATGCAATCCCACTAATTAACCTATAGCTGGGGAGAAGAGGTAGATGCATAGCTTTCCCAAGGATATTTAAACATAAGCAAATATAATGAACCTGATTGGAACTGAAGCTAAGTTCTTCAACTTTCAATTCTGAGTCTTATCATTTACACCAACTGCACATCTAAGCATACCACACCTACTATTCCCAAGTGGTCATCCACCTAGGTACTGACCAGGCTCAACATTGCTTAACTTTGGTGATCATATGGGAACCAATGTTTCAATGCAATATGGAAGTAAGCCCTATGACTTTTAAGAATCAGATTATATAATAAAAAATAGCCAGAAAGAAACACTGTTGCAGTTTTCAATGGAGTCTTACGTAAAATTATTAGCTGATTATGAATATCAGATTATACAAAAACAATGTTTCATGCAGTTAATGAAGTTATCTTCAGGCTGAATTGTTTTGAAATATATATGAAAATATTATCCATTACACCACTCTTGGAGAAGGACAATTCTCTTGATTCAAAACTGGTTGAGTATGGAGACAGTGAGTCCGCCCTATAAAATCCTACTTACTATGAAAATCAAAGCAGAAAAAGCTAGTATTATGGCTTATCGGTTCTTCAGCTTATTTTAAAGCCAGAAAATATCTTTAGATTGTAAGAATTTTGGAGGGAGATAATAATAATTTACTGATACAAGTCCTACTAATTAACCCATAGATGGGAGGAGAAGAGTTGAATGCATACCTTTCCTAAGGGTATTTGCACATGTGAATATAAGAAACCTGACCAGAATTGGAACTTAGCTCTCTGATTTTTAATTCTGAGCCATTATCATTTACACCAACCGCACATCTTAGCTGGTATTCCCAAGTGGTTACCCATCTATCTACTGACCAGGCTCAATGTCCCTTACCTTTGGTGATCGTACAAGAACCAATGTTTCAACATGATATAGTTGTAAGCCTTTCTTCTATGTGCCATTCCCCTACAGAATATTGTTAATCATGGATCTCCACAATTTCCTGTCTTTTTTCCTTTTTATTATCTCTCCTTAACCCAGTTCTGCCATTCATTTAAACGTGCTCACTAGGTAGGTCATACATTGTTTTCCTTTGTCCCTCTTGCCTTCTATGTGTCCTGTAAGTACAAAATTTTTCTGAGCCCTCTTTACTCATTATGAGCCCTAGAAATTAATTTGCTATTCATCATTACTTGTTTTGAGCCTGTGGCTTTGCTGATGGCAAGATGATCAAATTTCAAGCATAAACCATTTGTTGATTTAGAACAGTACCTTTACTAGAAATTCACTTCAATTATAGGAGTCAAAAAATGACTTCAAAGGGTTGCACATTGTCCCTTATACACTTTCCTATTACCCAGAATTTGTTGCACAGCAGGAAATTAGTCCTTGTGGTAGAGATAGCCATTTCAATTTCATTCATATGGTGTGTATATACTTTTGCATGTGTGCGTGTATATTTTAATACAATGACAGACTTAAAAATATTTCCATAAAATTAAAACAAAAAAAAATATTTTCAAAATAACTATATCCATTACTGAATAATTTCCAAAAATTTCAATAAAATATTTTAGGGTTTAATAAATTAATATTTTTTTGTCTTTTTGGTAACTTTGAATTTATTGCTCAGCCCAGAGTAGGGATTGTCCAGACAGAGTAGGAGAGAAACGCATTATTTCAATGTATTCCATTTGTGTTGTGTGTGTGGGTACTTGTGCATACATTAAATGGCACAAGCACATGTAAGTCATTCATACACAGCACAAGCATATGAATATAAAGTACATGTATATACATATGCATAAACACAAACATATGTATATACATTGCATATATGCATGCAAGGTCATATGCAGACAGTTTGTGACTGACAGAAAATTAGGTTTGTTTTATAATATGGCAGAAACGATGCCACTATGGTAGTCAAGAAATGATTGCTTTTGGCTGGGTCTTTCGGAGAAAAAGTCTGATCTCTTGGAGAACCAAAACTTTCTATAACCCCAGAATAGACATTATTAAGGAATCATTCTGGTATGCATATATATGCATATAAAATGGACAAATTTATACACAAAGTTCTAATGTTTTCTCAAGAAGTAGCAACTTTGAATGAGACAAGAAAATAAACTGGAAGGCAAAATGTCATTATTCACTTTAAATAAAACAATAATTAGTTGAAAAGGAAAGTTGTAGAAAATGATTGTTACCTCTGCAACACCATTATTCAAATGACAAATACATAAAACAAAATGGCTGAACAGAGCAAAGGATGTATAAAATTTATACCACTAAACAAACAGCACAAAACTGACACATATAAATAAGCAATGAATCAAGAAATAATTAAAGGAGGAACTAGGGGAATTAAAATTGAATGAACGAAAGATGTGAATGAATGAAAAGTTTAGATAAAAGAAAATACAGTAAAGAGAAAGATCTAAATTGTGAAGTGAGGATAAAATTGAAGAAGAGGCAAGCAGAGTGAGGCAGATTGAAAGTTATGCAATGGATGACAAACAACATAAATTAATGAATGACAACATTGAACAGGAAAATATGGCCAGGCATGGACACAAACTAACGACTCACAATTAACCTGAACATAATACATTCACACTGAATGAACTTGACAGCTTGATATATGCAAATGAGAATGGAACAAACATTTATTTTATGAGGGCATGCAATATTAAAACAGTGCAATGATAGAGATTACAACAGATGTACACATACACATACATATGTGTATGTGAGGAGGTGATGAAATGTTCTTGGCCCAACCTAACTTCTTAAAATCTGACCAAACATCAGAAGTTTTGATTGGGTTAAGAATCTTTCAGTACCTGCTTAATTGTTGTTAATACATTTCTTTACATGTAAATAGTGATGCATAAATCTACGTATAATTTCATTACAATTGATTTTTTTAAATATTTTTAATCTGCCATATTTTTATGACTTCAACTATTATTTTTAGTGGATAGCCATATTTTAATATAATGCCCCATTTTTGTGAAGCTTTTTTTATTTTCTGTACAGACTTGCTTCTTCAAGAAAACTGAATAACGAAAACATGCCCTCTGGCAAGATTCAAACCTGTGTCTAAAGCACACTGGATCAGTTGTTGGTTCCTCTTATGAAGGGGGACACAAACATGAAGGAAGGCTTATTTTCATTACTAAGTTATCTCAAATGTGCAATTTGATAGACAAACTATATACTGTTTTACTAAAAACGAGGCATTTTAAAAATATAGGTATCCATTAAAAATAACATTTGAAGTCATTTATATATGTATGTACATTTTTGGGGTCTGTACATTTATATATATATATATATATATATATATATATATATATATATATATATATAAATATATATATATAGTAATTATTTATTCAAAATTATAACATAAATATGTTATAAAATCACTAAAAAATAGACATTTTGTTTCAACTTGGTGTCTTATCAAGAATTATGCTGATTTTTCGAATAAATAATTATATTTGCATTGAGCACCTTTTAAGAATAGTAATTGTTGGTTACTGAATTTATTCCATATACACCAATTCTATACTCAGTATATTAATATATATATATATATATATATATATATATATATATATATATATATATATATATATATATGTATATATATATATATGTGTGTGTGTGTGTGTGTGTGTGTGTGTGTATGTATATACAAGGAGTATCAAAATAGTTTTACAAACCTTGTGGTTGGGTTCCTAGCACCAAAACAAAGTAAAATGTCCATATAAACACATGTCCAAAAGTTATACCTCAACACAGAAGCTTATAACAAATGTCTAAAATGTCCTTCACTAACTTCTACACACAAGCACCCATCAAATCATTGACTAGCAGACACTTTGAAATACTCCCACATTGTGTTGAATGGTTTCGCAGGCCCTTATGACACATTGATGAAGCATCACTAAATTATTAATGTCTGCTCCATAAACCAAAATTTTTAGGTGGACCCATGGATAAAAATCCAGAGGACTGATGCTGGGGGATTATGCGCTGGAGCAGCATCATGCATGAACGACATGCATCTTCGTATTAGCAGGAGGATATTCTGCAGCAGGCCTGGAAGTGTGTTCAAAATAAAGTCCAAATAGACAGCTCCTAGACATGCAGAGAGATCATATGGAACTACCAGACTGTCACCTACAATTCCAGCCCAAACATTAATCATTAGCTGATGCTGGAGACTAATTTGTATTGCACCATGGAAATTCCAATCCACCTACAAATGTTGGTTGCACAAATTTGTTATTCTATTTCTTCCAAATGTTGCCTCATCAAGAAAAAAAGCTTGAAGAGGCAAACTACAGATCAGCAATTTGTGCAAATGTTCTCATGTAGTGAGTGATCAGAGAGTAAAAGAACTTGCAAACATTGCAAATGATAGGGATACAGGAGCCACTCTTGAAGTACCCTCGATGCACTACTATGAGATGTACAACATGCTAGGCCTACTTGACATGTGCTGATACGAGGATCATCTCCGACACTCTGTAGAATGTGTTCTTCATGGTCACGTGTACAACTGAATCTTGGTCTTCCTTGATACATAATTTGTTGTGTCACAAATCCTGTCTCAGCAATATGATGATAAACAACAACAAAGGTTGGTTTTCACAATTTGATACAGCTGCACAGCCTCGTATCCATTACCATTCACAAAGCCATATGTAAAAATCATATCTACCTGTTCATGATATTAATATCCTGCCACTGTTAAATGGAACACTTCTCAGTTAACTCACTACTACACACATTAAATGTTGAAGACAGACTAATCACAAATGTACATGAATTATAAATGTAACCTAGTCTATATGGCAAGATAGTGGCATCTACCATAAACTTTTTTAAAACTAAATAAGTCAAAAAGTGAAGGATTTGTGGACATATATTTATATTGACTTTTGTCATTTTTTTGATGTGAGGAACCCGCCCTTAAATTTATAAAAGTATTTTTAATACACCATATATTTGTGTATTAATGTTTTTCAAGTGATTTCGGCTATAATTTTAACCATTATCAAGGATGAATTTTATTTTACTTTTAAGAAAATATATAGATTGATTTATGTATGTATCTAGAGTTATAGGAATGTTTTATTTTCCAAACACACACAGCATATTGTGGCTGTGTTCATAGTTGATATTGTGTGTTGTTTTTTTTCTTTTAATTAATATTGCTTCCATTATTTTTAGCCTT